TTGACTGACCACTTTAGCCTTTTCATCCGTCACTGTCTTCTTGAACGTATGTAGATCACTGACTTTCAACTTTTACAGAACAGTATGCTGTCCATAGATATGTAATATTTTAGATCTCTTTCTAAACTGACTGTTAATCTATATATGCCAAAGCATTATTTTTTAACTCTGTACTTCAAGCTTGTTCATTCCCTATATACATTATATGTGTACCTTATAAGCTATACAAGCTGTTATATAGAGTTAAAGTGACATGACTGTTCCTGGCTCAAACATAGTGCAAATACATAATCTATTATGTATGGTAATGCAATCAATTTTTATATATATATATATATATATATATATATATATATATATATATATATATATATATATATATACTTACATACAGAAATATTGGAAAATGCAGTGTGCATTGTTTTTATTGGGGGAAAAAAGAAAGGCAGAGTTCTTTGTTCTTCCAAAAGGGCAAATTATTAAATGTTTTTAACAAATTTTAAAAAAATTATGGAGTACTGGCGCTGTAGTGGTTTTACTTTGGAAGGATAAAAAAGACCTCTGAGGATTACTTTTACTAAAAGTGTAGCATTAGTCAGGTTTTGCTGAAACAGTGGCCATTGACTGATTAACAATTCTGATTGTTACTGACAAATAATACGTAAAAGTGCAGTACTGTGATGTTTCTGAGAGCAGTAACAAAACTCGCTTGACACCGACACAACCTCATGACTTAAATAATAGACTTAAATATACGTATTATGCAAAATAAGAACTAATCTGGCAAAGGGTCAGAAATCTTGGTCTCTACAACTGGCTGAAAACCTGATAACTATTCAAGTTAGTTGAAAAACATTTTTGTAATTCACACCTGACGTTGTCTAGTGGCTGACTTTCTAGTGAGTACACCTAGTATGGAATTACTTCAATGCGGACAAAGTGCATTAAACGCAGAGGTACAAACGTGTCCTACTGTCAAACGTTACTTTGCATGGGTCATTTTTTAAATCATTAATGCTACACTGCTACATATTTATATGCTGGATTGTTCTGACACAAAAAAGAAAATGGATAAGTTCAATTAATAACATTTATTTCACAGCCTTTCAAAATAAAAGTGTCAAAAACAGAATTATCCATCTATTAACCATCAGCATGCAAGTACATGTACAAGGCCATATAAAAAAATACTATTTTGCCATTGATTTATGAGCTTTTTGAAAACAAATAACACATCAGAATGTGCTTTAAAATACTAGTTAAATAATTTCAAAATATATATATATTTCATATACAAGAAGTACCCCTTTAGACTCTCTAGTCAACAAACCATATATAGACTGCCATGAATCAGTTTCCCAATTGATTATAAACAAATTCAACAGATGTTCGTCTGTCTTTTAATAATAATTTGATAATGTATTTTGACACAGTACATGTTTCCAATTAAATGTATTGAGATAATCTAACAATTTTTGAGACATCAAATTGGATTATCCAGTATAAAGTGCAAAAGTGAGAGTGTAATGGTGAATAGATGATCTAAACATAAAATGTCAACTTCTATCAAGGCTCTGTTGAATTCTCAAATCTGATTTGTCAGAAGATGTTGATTCATTTTTCATCAAATATCATGGTTTACATTTGTGGCTAATGTTTTTTTTTGTTTATCTCATGGCTGTGAAGGCAAATTTCCTGTTTTTGTTAGACTCAAAGCATACCACCAAAACCAGCCAGATACCTGACAAAATTCAGTCTCACTGCATTAAGAAGTCAAACCTGGGGGGGAACACTATGCATTTTGTAAAGTGTGTAGATGTGATGAAAAGATCACAGAGTCAGGGGTATTTGACATTAAAATGAAGATCATGGAACAGTATAAGGACTGAAAGACTCACTGCTCTGCTGAAATGAAAGAGCAGCTGTTGCAGTGTTCGAATTTCAATAGTACAATTGAGAAAAATGCTCAAGAGTGGAAAGCAAACTACACCATTGTACTGTACAGACCACAGCACTTAAGAGCAATTCACACACACACACACACACAGCTTTCTGTTTGATGAGGTTTTTTTATGCTTTATATCAATGTATCAGTCTGAAAAATGGTCGTTCCTATTTTACAAAAACAACAATAACAATAAAACGAGAAAAGGAAAAGTGTGGAGAGCCTTTTCTTTGGGGTTTGCAACGACTCTAGGTTTTTACTAAATTCTACAGGTTTTCCATCACCTGACTCCATATTTCTTTACAGTTAGGTTGACAAGCATGATAATAGCAGCTCTCACAGTAGTACCAGATGTAAAGCAAATCACATGGTAGTATTAATGAATTCATTTTAATACATTAGCATTGACATTTTTGGCATTTGGCAGACGCAAAGCCCAGCTGTGGCAGCTTGCTGGTGCTGAGATTTTAAATCTAAACCTAATAATAAATAGGTTAAAATAATGTTCTGTAAAAAAAACAAAAATAAAATGAAAACATCAAATTGCTGATATGCTTAAGTTTTCTATAAGGAGACATTTATTTAATACTTTTGGAAGGAGCCTCCAGTGTTAGTCCTTTGTATCAGTCAGACGTAAACTGTTCCAATACTTTTTGCACTTAAGAAAGTCTTCATTAAAACAATAGTAACTAGGAATGATTCAAAAGAAGTGTTGTACTTTAATTCATTAAAACATTATAATCACTGGCAACATTGCTGTGGTATTCTTCGTTCATCAAGTTACCGAGCTAAAACGTCAAATATTAGTAAAAGTTGTTTTTGACTTTCCACTCTTGACATAATGAAGGTATTAAATTGTAGTCATGCGCCCGTATTTACATATGAGTTGTGTTAATAAGTTGCTAAACTGATCTTAATTAACAGTTGTCAGTCAGCTGTGACCTAGATTTATCAGCAGTTTCACAAGTACAAAATATTTATTCACATAAAAACAAAAAAATGTGTGTTGTAACTGGTAGAAGACACTGCTTTCTAAAATTTACCACTAAAAGGGGGTGTGGGGTGGGCGTTTTGCTGCTTCAGGCTGGAAACTTGCCGTGTAAAAGCATGACTGCTGTCAAGAGATCCTGAAGAAGTCCGACCATCTGTTGTGTACTACTGATGGGTGAGAGTTCTACACCACCACCTGGCTGAAAAAGCGGGGCTAGAATCGCCGCTATGGGTGGGATTAAAGCGTGCTCAAACCAATGTAACTTGGTTGCAAAGGGGCAATTCTCCAGGGCGTAAACCCACGTTATAGTTGGTGGTGTGCTAGGGTGGCCCACAGTTATTGGTTTAGGGGAACTTTTCACACAGGCATGATGTTGGTTTTTTCACCTTTTTAAACACCTTTTAAATTGTGTTTGGGAATTATAAAAGGCAACTTCAACTGTTTTTTATGAACTTGTTATACAATGATTATCAAAAAGAAAAATAATAAATCAATAAAAGAGACCGCACTCATGATCCACAGTCCTCAGGGTTTACTGGGTTAAAAGCTTAACCCATAAACTGAGTGGCTATGGGTTAAGCTTTTGTGAACTTTTTACTAAAATATGTAGAATAAAGTTTCCAGCTGTGTGTGTAGTATATGTAATATAATTTATGTTGTTGTATTTATTTATTTGTTTGTTTATCACAGAAGGTTATAGTCATGGTGTTGTCCTATTTAATGTGTACGGGAGACTAAATACCAAAAAAATATTTGATTGTAATTTCATATCGAAGCACTTGGAAAAGTTTACAATCAAAATTCGTTAAATTTGTAGTTGCAAAAGTTAAACTATAATACTGACCCTTTGTGCATAATAGGCGCTTCTACTGTTCCATAAACAGGCAGCTTAACCAGACGGTAGACTTTTATGACTTCTAATCAAATGGGTGAATTAAAAGAAAAATCAATGTCATTCTGTTGAATGTGAGCCAATTTGTAAGAATTAAGGAAAAAATATTTTTTCCACAAGTATTTTGTTGTGTGCCTGTTAAAGGATTAATGGCTGATATGGTTTTAATGTACTTGGTAAGAACATGCTGATTAAAAGTTTTTGTCTTGAAATATTTGTGTTTTCCATCATTGACAGATGCTCTTGTTTGCAACACTTAAAACAATACCACTGTACTATTCTAGATGCTGTTTAGTAGAATGGTTATTACATTGTTGTTTCGCTGTTTCGATGTCTGAGACAGTCATCCTCCTGGCAGATGAGCTGGTAAGGTTTTTCATTGACCTCAATCACAGAGCTGCTGATCCCTGCATCCAGGTTCTGCAGTTCCTCTCTTGACAGATGTCCCACAATACCAGCTCCTAACGAGTCTCCCAGCACATTGGTGGTGGTTCTGAGGCGATCCCTGTCTCAGTGAAAAGAGGAACAGACGTTATAGACATCTAAAAGTCTTCGCAATAATCTTTGATTTTTATAAGGAGAATGTGTGGAAGCGGTTCCTACAGAATAATTCTGAAAATGGCTAAATACACAATAACTCTCCAGTCAGTATGGTGGCTGTTGTATAGCTATTAGACCGTTTCATATTGTCTTACGTTGTGCCTGCATTATGTATCAATAACCTTTTTGCAAGAGTGCTCTCTGCTGGAGATGTGACAAATGTGACATTTAGTCAAGACTTACAGGAACCAATCCACAGCAACGATGAGTGTTATGTCCTCGGTGGGCAGTCCCACGGATGTCAATACAATCACCATGGTTACCAGACCAGCCTGAGGAATAGCTGCTGCTCCAATGCTGGCAGCAGTTGCTGTGATGCTGGAAAATTACATTTTAACAGTAAGAAAATACAGTACACTGTAAAAAAGAAATTACTGTAGATTTTTCAGTAATTTAATTGCAACCTGGGTTGCCAATTAAGTACTGTAAAATTTACAGTAAACAACTGTAACATAAAACATACAGTATTTACAAAAAAGAACTATAATATCTTTCTTAATATAAAAGTAACACATAATCAAGTACATCTGCTCATTTGGTTGATGCAGGAAACAACTGAGCTCAAGGCAGGTTGATGGTCCTGGGATTTGAACACATGACCTTCTTTTGTGTGATACAAAAGCTTAACCACTGAGCCACCACATCAATTCAACTAGCTTGCATTGCTTAAATGCAATCTTGAAGTGGCGTTAAGTCCATCGTAGAAGTAGTTGAATTTGAGTCACAGAGCAGAAGGTTTTGTGTTCAAATCCCAGTACTGCCATGCTGGCATGGTTGAATTTTAAGATATTACAGTACTTTATTGTAAATGTATTTATTGTAAAAGTTTATTTTACAGGTGTTTACTGTAAAATTGGCAATAAATGACTGTAAAATATATAGCATTTTATTTTTTTTGCAGTGCAGGAATGTGTCCTGAGAAGTGATGTATGAAGTATGAAACGTACTGAAAATTGTAAATAAAAAATGCACTGAAGGACGGACTAGACTGTGCATTATTGGTTTATAGTTTTGGTCTTGTCTTGGGCTATAAGCCCTTTAACTCTATGTATCCACTTTATACTGTAGCATATTGTTATTTTTAGTGGCTTTGTTATTGTTACCTGATGGTAAGTATTTGTCCAAAGTTCAGGTCCACGTCATTAACTTGGGCTATGAAAATGGCAGCCACTGCTTCATAAAGAGCTGTACCATCCATGTTTATGGTGGCTCCCACAGGCAAAACAAGGCGCGTTACACGTTTGTCCACATGGTTGTTTTCCTCTAAGCAACGGAAGGTGATGGGAAGGGTGGCTGAACTGCAGAAAAGAAATCAAACATCTAATACCTTTCCTGCTTAAAAGTCTAGCTGGACAGCACAACTGGTAGACTGTCTTTGTTAGTTGGTTAGTGCTGGTAGAAAAGAAAGAGTTTCTGAATTAATGATATTAATGCAACAAAATAGACGTTATTTTTAAGAAAATAATACTCCAATGATAATATAGAAAATCTAAAACATTTATTTATCAATTAATTCAAATACTTCAGAAGCTGGAAAATAACTTACCAGCTGGCAAAGTTGGTCTACCAACTTGACCAGCTCTGCCCGTGTTTTGGTAGCTGGTCAGACCAAGCTGGATTTTTCAGCAGCCATATTTCCCTTAATATATTATATTATAATATTTCTCTATAATGTCCTTTCTGAAACTCCATACACACTACAATTAAACAAAAACTCTAAACAATAAAATATCATATTTTGTCTATGAATATAGAGCTCCATTGCATGTTAAGATCATTTTACTACCTTGAGGATGTTCCAAAGGCTGTAATTAAAGCCTGGAACAGACCAGAGATGAAGGTGTAGGGGTTCTTCCGTGTTCCCAAATAGAAAAGCAGAGGCAGAGCAATGAGGCTGTGGATGAGCAGACCAATGATGACACACAACATGTACATTCCCAGCTGTCCTCCAACTTGTAACAGGTCTTTCATTTCAACAATCTTCCCAGCAATTAGAAAGAGGATTCCAACTGGAGCATACCTAAGAGAGAATGTTTGAAGAGAAATAATAGAATGGCAATTCATCCATCCATTTTCTGTACTGCTTATACTACACAGGGTCACAGGGAGGCTGGAACCTTTCCCAGGGTACTCGGAGCACAAGGCGGGGGACAGCCTGGACGGGGTGCCAACCCATCACGTGGCACAATCTCACACACACTTTCACACCCATTCACACAGTACAGACTATTTGGAATTGCCAGTCAGCCCACACCATATGTCTTTGGACTGGGGGAGGAAACCGGAGTACCTGGAGGAAACCCCAAAAGCGCTGTGAGAACAGGCAAACTCAGTACACACAGGGTGGAGGCAGGAATCAAGCCCCCCACCCCTGGAGGTGCGAGGCAAATGTGCTAACCACTATATACGTATAGCATAATATAAAAAGTCTACACACGCCTGTTAAAATGGCAGATTTTTGTGAAGTAAAATTTTTTTATTCAGATCATGTCAGAACTTTTCCAACCTTTAATGTGAAATTGAAAAGTATACAAATAAAGTGAAAAACAATCAGAAACCTTTCATGGGAAAAAAAACAACCTTACAATAACCTGGTTGCATAAGTGTGCACACCCCTAAACTAATACTATACTGAAGCACCAGTTGATTTTATATTCTTATTCTTACCCCAAAACAGCTTGACTTGGCAGTATTTTCCCACTGTTTCTTGCAAATCTATTCAAGATTCCCTACACCTTGATAGATAGATAAATAAATAAATAAACAAATAAAACAGTTCTGCCTGAAGAAAAGCAGCCGTAAAGCATGATGCTGCCACCACCATGCTTCATCAAGGGTGTGGTGGTGTCGGTCATGAGCTTTTTTTTTTATTTTTTGCACCAAACATACCTTTTGGAAATATGGAATTTATTATACTTTTTGAAATTGGTCTCATCAGGCCATTTTACCACATGGTTTGGGGGTGATTTAGTTGAGTTTGGATGCTTTTTGTGAGAAAGGGCTTTCATGTAGCCACCCTACCCTAAGTCCAGACAATATGAAGAATATAAGCGAGTTCTCACATGCAGAGAGAAATCAGTACTTGTCAGATATTCCTGCAGCTCCTTTAATGTTGCCGATGGTCTCATGGCAGCCTCCCTGGTGAGTTTTTGTCTTGTTCTTTTATAAATTTTGGAGGGGCATCCGGTTCTTAGTGATGTCAGTGTGGTGCTCTATTTTATTTATTCATTGATGATGGCCTTCACTGTGTTCCATGGTACGTATAATGTTTTGGAAAATCTTTTATACCCCTCTCCCTATCGATACCTTCGAGCAAATGAGATACCAAGCATGCTTTGTAAGCTCTTTGCGGACCAGGGCTTCTGCAGTCAAATGAAACCAAGAAGATTTGAAGAAAATCCTACAGAAACAGCTGATCTTTATTTGGGGTTAATTAGAATAATTTAATTGTTGACAGCTGTATGATAATTACAATTGTAAAAGGGTATGTACACTCAAGCAGCCAGGTTATTGTAATTGTTATCATAATTATATGGTTTCTTATTTTCCCCTAAAATGGTTTGATTGATTTTCACTTAATTTGACATGTTGTAATTTCACGTTTCATATGTTGATTTATCATCACAAAACATCTGCCATATAAACAGTGTGGGAGAAATAAGTACTGAACATGCCAAAATAATATTCAGTAAATATATTTCCTAAGAGGCTATTCATATTAAATTTTTACCAGACATCTGTATTTACTCAAGAAATCTGGAAATATAAAGAATTCTCAACATTAAAGTCCATAAATAAAGTTATGTGTAATAAAGAGGAATGACACAGGAAAACAGTATTGAACACGCTAACTGAAAAGTATTTAATACTTAGTGGAGAAGCCTTTGTTTGTAATGACAGCTTCAAGACGCTTCCTGTATGAAGAAATTAACAGGCCGCAGTACTCGGGTGTGATTTTAACCCATTCTTCGAAACATATTGTCTTTAAATCTTGTTCAATTGGATTCAAGTCAGGTGATTGACTGGACCATTATAACACCTTGATTCTTTTCTCTTTTTCTCTGAAACCAATTGAGAGTTTCCTTTGCTGTATGCTTTGTTGTCCTGCTGGAAGCTCCACGCACATCTCATCTTCATCATCCTGGTGGATGGCAGCAGATTCTTCTCAGGCATCTCCCGGTAAAGGGCTCCATTCATCGTTCCTTCAATTATATGAAGTCGGCCAGTACCATGCGATGAAAAACAGCCCCACACCATGATGCTTCTACTTCCAAACTTCACTGTTGGTATAGTGTTTTTAGGGTGATGTGCAGTGCAATTTCTTCTCCAAACATGGTGTGTAGCATGACAGCCAAAAAGTTCAATTTTGCTTTCATCTGACCAGACTACTCTCCCAGTATTTCATAGGCTTGTCCAAATGAGTTGTAGCAAACTTTAAGCGAGCTTCAACATGCCTTTTCTTTAGTATAGGAGTCTTACAGGGTGAGCGTGCATAGAGGCCATGGTGGTGGAATGCATTTCCTATTATTTTCTGTGTGACGGGCACCTGCTGCCTCCAAGTGTTTCTGGAGCTCTTTCTGAGTGGTTGTTGGCTCTTGGGATACTCTTCTGACTATTCTTCTGATTCCCTGGTCAGAAATATTGAGCTCCTGTGTGTGGCTGGTTGATGATGGAGTGATGTTGCTTCCACTTGTGGATTATGGCCCCAGTGGTGCTTACCGGAGGATTCAGAAGTTTTGAAAAACGTCTGTATCTGATTCCATCAATATGTATCACAACAATACGGTTGCCTTTCTGGCAGAGGCAGTCAGGTTTACATTTAATATCTGTTGATATTTGATAGAGTCCATGATACCGTGTATCCTAACAAAATGTCCAAGTCCTCTGGCAGAAAAACAGCCCCAAAACCTTAAAGAGCCAACACCATATTTAACCGTGGGCATGAGGTACTTTTCCATATGGCTACCTCTCTGTGTGCTCCAAAACCACCTCTGGTGTTTTTTGCTTAACAGCTCTATTTTGGTTTCATCTGACCATAGAACCCGATCCCATTTGAAGTTCCAGTAATGTCTGGCAAACTGAAGACACTTAAGTTTATTTTTGGAGTAGAGACTTTTTTCTTGAAACCCTTCCAAAAAACTTGTGGTGATATAGGTGACTTCAGATTGTAGTTTTGGAGACTTTCTGATCCCAAGACGCAACTAACTTCTGCAATTCTCCAGCTGTGATCCTTGGAGATTTTTTGGCCACTTGAACCATCCTCTTCACAGTGCGTTGAGCCAATATAGACACACGTCCTCTTCCAGGTTGCTTCATAACATTTCCAGTTGACTGGAACGTCTTAATTATTGCCCTGATGGTGGAAATGGGCATTTTCAATGCTTGTGCTATTTTCTTGTAGCTGCTTCCCATTTTGTGAAGCTCAACAACATTTTGCTGCACATCACAGCTATATTCCTTGGTCTTACCCATTGCTATGAATGACTAAGGGAATTTGGCCAATGTGTTACCTCATATTTATACCCCTGTGAAACAGTAAGTCATGGTTGAACAATTTCCTGTTCCTAGTCATTCAGGTGTACTAAAAATGTCAAATATAAATGGAAATATACTTCAAATATGTTTTTCTCATGTGAATTCATAGG